GTACACAGATCGTTTGATCCAAGGTGGATAACCAGAAACCTCGGCTGGGGATGGCGGGCAACAAGTGTATCCACTGCCTTGCGGAATCCCCCCCCCCCCCCCCCCCCCCCCCCCCCACACACACACACACTTCATTCCGCCCTTTGCATGCCAGCGGATACCCGTCAGTAGGGAGTCCGATGTAGTGGACAGATAGTTGTGGAATCGGACCATATAACTGGACCCGATTCACCATACATCTGAAACTTAAAACACACTAGCATCACCTTTGTTATAATAACATCTGCTTTATACTTACCTATTAATTTAGTTATGGTATTTATTTATTGATTATTTATTTATTCTGTATATTATTAGAGTTAGTGAAAAAGTACGTATTATCCCGATGCCTATCGTAACTCTGACAAGGAGCTCATTTGTGTTAGAGATTGAAAAAGCGGGTGTTTCCCAATGACGTCACGGGGATTTCCCAGCTGCTGACAATAACAACATAGATAAGTGACACGGAATTCATGATCACATTGTTTAACATGCACATATTTGAGTGAAATTCTGTACAATCCTACATATATGTCCTACATGTAGACGTTTTGTTCTAATGATAAAAGATGCCATGACTACCGGAACACAAATAACATTCGTGTGCCATGCAATAGCATTTTTCATAACCAATAAATGCTATAATCAATAAGTGTAGTGTTACCGCACTTTAGCTACTAGAATTGAAATAACGTGCCAAAAGATACTTCACTATTTTCCCTTCAAATGGTCCTCTCGTGAGCGCGCAGAACTTTATTCTTCCCCGCCCTTAAGGCGGGGAAGGCGGGGAAGGTTACGGGAAACGTTAAATTTGTGGCATGTATGTCGACATGTTGGTTTATTTGAAATTTCAAGCCACGCATTTACGGAAACAAAACATACAAATCATGTGCGTCGAATGTTGATGCTATTCTTTTCCAGCAATAAGAGATACTTCAAAATCGTCTTTATGTAGTTAATTCATGCATCTGACCGTTTCTGGTCATTAGCTGACATTATTAAACCATTCATGTGTAATCCGATGTCCTTTTTTCCTCAAGGACTAATTTTCTGATTTTCACGGTGTATACAAAAGAAGAACTGTGCTCCGGAGATCGTAAATAACAGCATAATAAAAATTATGTTCTGAATATGCTTATTCATGAACAACGACGACATCTCAATTTAAATGTAATATGGCTGAATTCCATATTCTACATACCACACTTTTGATTGTTTGGATGCTCATGTTCACTGGAAATATTTGGAATAGTTATATTCCGTATTTTGAATTAACCCAGTCCCCCGTGTGTGTTTTTTAATCAGTGCACCGCACATAACCACATGTGAAACGATTGGTAGCAAAGTCATGATCAAAGCAAAATCGGAGTAGTGTGTCAGCGAATTTGCATCTAGGCTGTAGTATTTTTCAACCGTTTAATGGAATTCAATGTACAGCCGTAGCTCTGGTCATTCATATATTTTGTGTCCCATAGCTCAAATCTATTTGCGTCTGTACCGTGTTCCACTGACCTCGATAATCTGTTGGATGAAGGCACAGCTCCCTACAGCCACAAAGTTAACACCGAAGGCTATGAGGAGTATTTAGGTCATAATCAGTCCCCAGCAGCCACTGCCTCAAGCGATATTGTCTACATAACAGATCAGTTTTATGGCTCCGTCACAGGTGCTCCAAATATTGAAGCAGGGAAAACAAATTTCATAGAATCATTTCAAAAAGCAATATTGATATCCCCGTCACTTTTGGTAACTTTTAATGATGTCTCCATTGCAATTTTTACGGATTTCGATTCGTATGCATTATTTGACTGTCATCAGCGGAATGGTCTTGGTCAGATTGATCCGAATGGACAAGCGGTTTTACTTCTGTTTAGTAGTATGGGTGAATTGTCATGTTACATCTTAACAGTATATATATATATCAGGCTACTATGCTTGTCGTAAGAGGCGTCGATCCCAATTGCGTGGATCGATGCTCATGATATTAGGCACTGGATTGTCTGGTCCAGACTCAATTATTTACAGACCGCCGTCATATAGCTGGGATATTGCTGAGTGCGGCGTTAAACGACAAACCAATCAATCATCATCATATGAACTCAAACCAGTCATTGTTACAAGTAAACCACATTCCACAACAGTTACTGACAATGGATAAAAAACAGTATATAGAAAAAAAACAAGTAACTCAACTCATCATGATCACAATTACTATTCTTTGAAAGAAAGAAATACAACAACAAAACTGACCAAAAAACGTAAAACAAGAGACGAGGAATCTCCGTTATTGATTAGTCCCGGTATTGAAATGTTCTCCAACTACATGATAATATTTTGAGTATGTGCATCTGTGGTTGTGACGAAAAGACCTTATCTAGTATGACTTTTTTTGCCATATGGAGCCCTTCGTATTTTCATTTACATTATTATAACCAAATGCTAAGTGTAAAAAGAATGTGATCTATTTTTTGAGTATGTGCATCTGCCAATGTTGTTGGCAGTTTTGATACTATTTCCACATGTTTACATTTGTGCCAGAAATTGCTTCCATTTCCTTCGATCTACTTTTTCAATAAAGACCCAGGTAAGAATAGGTCTTCAGCAACCTATGCTTGCCGTAAGAGGCGGCGAACAGGATTGGGTAGTCAGGCTCGCCGATTTGGTCGATGCATAACATCATATTCCAATTGCGTAGTTCGATGCTCTTGGTGTCAATCACTGGATGATCTGGTCCAGACTGGATTATTTACAGACCTCCGTCATATGGCTGGAATAATGCTGAGTGCGGCGTTAAACAAGAAACTATTTTTAAATAGACCTACCCTATGCAAATGTATCAACTGTATTGCCCAACACTCAAAATAAATAATATTTTTTTCCACAACAGCGTTGTGTTATTTGTGGTTAATATAATTATGCCCCATCATGCCTTTCAGTAACATCATAATTATGCGTTTGTGAGGCATCACATATGGCGGGGAACTTTGATGCGCTGCATCAATGTTTTCTTGTGATATAAACACATCGCGTACAAAGTCAAGGACGAAAGTAAGGGACGTTATTCTAAATGACAATGACGAGACCTTTGACCGAACAGCATATGCGTTCAGCATTTAACACGCGTGTTCAAGTCTGATGTAATGTAATGTATAAGGTATATTTTTGTGTTTATGTCAAAAGTCAAGTTTTTTTTAGTGTGAACACCAACATTAAACGTGGAAACACTAAAAACAAAAATTTGTTCAGGAAGCAGCGCACCTACAAGCAAGTTTTTATGACAATATAAGCTTGTTAAGTTTGATTTGTTACGAATTAACCAAGGACTTAAATACAATATAAAGCTATTAGTATTTAGATGATGAAATTATTTCTTTTATCTATCTAGATCAATAATTCTTTTCAAAATTTAAAAGTGACGCTAATTTTCGTTCTCAAAGAGAGATAATTTAGGAATTGTCAAGTTATATTGTCTCATGGGACACGCCACAAGTTAACGTGAACACATATATAATGTCATTTTCTATCCTTTTAAATTACGTAGAGCTAATAAACTGTTTTTTTCTGATTTAAATCTGGCTGAGGAGCGAAATACTTTGTAATGTGTCAAATCTATTACAGAACGTAGTTCAATGATGTTTGGCTTGTCGGACAGAATTGCTGATAATAATTTACTAGTATTTATCCGTTGACCCTATACGTTTTTCGATGGTATTGTCTGAATGGTCTCAAGTATATCTATATCTTATTTTAAACATAAAACGGGATGATGTAGACTTAAATATAAAAAGACCAAACTATTTTTAAAGCGGTTTATTGAATGCAAAGATTATTGTGTTGAAAATGTGTAATTTATATTGATCAGTCAATTTCATTCAATAAACATTTTTTCTACGAACATATATTGGAAAGTGAATTTTGGACAATGTGCAAACTATGCTACATTTTGACGAGAACCCGTACGAGCATGTGAACCCATTTTTATTTGATTTGTCGATACGAAAACCTGTGCTTAAACTTTAGCTGTCACAATTTCAGTAAATTGTTATATTTAATGGAAAACATCTATATGCCGTTAATCACCTGTTTTTAAAGAATGCAAAAGTTCAACAGACAGTTTTTAATCACTTTTTATCAAATATTGTCTTTCAATAGGATATAGATAACATAGGTATTGAATTTAAAACGAAACAAATTACAATTACTTTTGCAAGAAAAATATTAGATATTGTATACAAATATTTGATCACATGTTTTTCCTTGTTAAGTCAATAAATACTACACTGTATAGTTAAAATTCAATTATTAAAACCACCCGTCCCACACGATTTTAGATGTAAAAACTTATGCAAAACCTTTATGGGTATTTTTACATATGTAGATTGATATAATTTTATAAAATGCGAAAATAAAGACTAAAGCATTGACACAAATGCGATCCAGAAAATATAACAGCGGAACTCTGCGGTTTATGAAAACTGTACCATTGAGCAAGGTGTCCCGGGCGAATACAAAGGGAAACCACTCTCAACTAGAGTTTGAACTAAGATTAGCCCCCCCCTTGAGCTATCAATAAGTTCACGGTCATTACTGTAGCCTGCCGACACCTTCCGTTTTTATCCTTCCCAAATTATCGAAAAGGTATGTTGTTTCACACTTCTTCAGCATGGACTGGGATAGAAAAATATTGTAAGCTATCGACTCCACAGTTATGTGTATCGCTGTCGCGATTAAGAACATTTTTGACGTCAAATCCTTGATGCGTTCTTCGTGTTTTCGAAGTGTCAATTTGAATCACTCAGTTTTACAAAATGAAATGTCAATGTTTGAACGTAAAGCGGACTAATTGTTTGGCAAAATGTCTATGGAAAAGTATGCCGCCATCATGAATGAAGATAAAATAAACTTACGACAGGTATAGGGCTATCTTAGATTTACGACAAACTTAAGATATCTTAGGGCTATGATAGTTTCGAAAATAGGCTACGATAGCCTACGATTTCCTTACGATAACTTTACGATAATCTTAGGGCTAGGATCGTTTCGAAAATCTAGGCCCAGATCCGTTTAGGATGAGCGTAAACATATCGTTATATGACTTATATCTGCTGACACATGAATATCAGACAAAAGACACGCCTTATACGAGAAATCCTTGGCTGACCCTGCCACCAGCTCACTGATTCTAAGAAATTCAAAAAATGCAAGCAGGTATGCAGCTGTGAAAAGAGACGTTTCGTAAGTTGAAGCACAAACTACCGGTAATGCTGTGACAATAACAGACAATAAGTCAATTGTAATTGGGAGTCGAGTGTCAGCCTTCTGTTTCTGTCTGACAAATCCAATCAAGGCTTTCTGAATAAGAAAATGGGATGTTAGGTCATGCATACCATGTAACTTTTGCCATGTTGTTAATGCCGATATATACGACTTTGCCGTGCGAGGAGATTTTCCTGTTAAGGAGAGATGAGCGATAAAATGCATAAGGTGATCAACCGGGGCGGGCCAAATGTGTGGCAGGCTGAAAGAGATGCGGAAAACATTAAATGCCTTTTGTGCAGACTCCTACAGGTTCCATGTGTTTAGTGCTAGAGAAGACTGCACTAGACGTTGCACCTCTGTCGTCAGATCTGCCATATATCCTGTGGTATCTCGTCTGATCGCGGCGCTGCTTCCTTGATCCTGGACCACTGAAATCTCGAAAGTGCATCAGCTATAACGTTTGCATGCGTAGGAATATATGATGCTTTGAACAAGATATTATGTTGTAAACAGAGGAGAATCAGGCGCCTAAGCAACGACATAACTCGGGGTGGTTTTGCTGTTTGTTTATTGATAATTGCTACCACTGCTTGGTTGTCACAAACAAACAACACTCGCTTGTTTCGTAGATGTCTGCCCCACAGTCTTACTGCCAATACAATTGGAAAAAGCTTCAGCATAGTGATGTCCTTAGTCCATCCATTCTGCACCCACTCGTTAGGCCATCTGCCATTCGCCCATCTACCCATGAAAAAGGCTCCGAAACCATGGTTACCTGACGCGTCGGTAAACAGATGTGTATCCGATGAGTTGATCCACTCTGAATCTATAAATGCAGAAGTGCCATTGTGGTTTTGAAGAAATTGCCGCCATAAATTGAGGTCCTCGCGTATGCCTTGTGTTATCCTTATTCTATGGTGAGGTTTTGACCCTCTGCGCTGTGCGTCAATGAGGCGTCTTAAAAAGGCACGACCAATCGGAATTGCTCTACATACAAAGTTAAGTTTTCCCACCAAGGACTGCAAGTAGTGTAATGTTGTTTTCTTCTTAAAAGGTGATAAAAGAGCAACTATTTCCTGAGTAAGCGGCACGACCTTGTCCATCGGTATGGTAAATTTGCGCTTTGACTGTGTCGATTGTGATACCCAGGAACGTCATGTTTGTTGTAGGTAGCACCGTTTTGTCCTTTGTGACAGGAACGCCCATGTTTTGTAATAACTCCAGAGTTTGTTGACACTTATCAGAGGCTAGTGCTGCCAATGCAAAATCATCCAAATAATGTTGTATGTTATCATTTTTGGTGTATTTCCTGAGTACCCACTGCAAAAATGTGCTAAATTTTTCAAATGTTGCACATGATATGGAACAGCAAAATGGTAGACATTTGTCAAAATAGAAATTATGTTTGAATTGTATGCCCAGAAATTTAAAGTCATCTGGTATAGGTATGAGGCGAAATGCAGATTTAATATCAAATTTTGCCATGTATGCACCCTTGCCTATTCCTTGTATCATGGATAGCACCTGGTCAAAGCTAGTGTACTTGACTGTTGACACCTCGTGTGATATGTAGTCGTTTACAGACTCTCCCTCAGGGTACGACAGATGGTGAATAAGTCTGAACGTTTGCTGAACTTGTTGATTATTTATTTGACTTCTTCGGAACGAGACCGATTGGAGAAACTATCATATCGTGAAATGGTGGTGCTGTAAATGGACCTGCAATTCTACCTAGATCAATTTCTTTTTGTAACATTGTTGCCACCCTGTTTGGATGTTGTTGGGCGGATTTTAAATTGAATGCCATTCTAGGACCCGGTGGACCCGTATACTGTAGTGGAAAACCTTGAGTAGAAGGGGGTGTAAATACTGAGCCAATGTGACAATACACGCATACTAATGGGTGTTGGTGCTAGGCCTTGAGTTGGTATTGTTTGCGTTGGGTTTTGTTTGAGTACGGGGGGCTGTAACGCCCCCTTTTTGACGAAAGCATGTGTGTGCGCCGTGGGCAGTGCTGTCACAGACCTTGTACATCCGAATTTGTTAAAATCCCAGCAAAACTTTGGGGTGCTACCAGTATTTGCGCTACCCGTGTTGACATTGTTGCGGTTGGTGGTAGTGGGGTTGTTTGTGACGCGTGCGTGTGCTGCTTGTTGATTTGGAAGCATATGTTGTAACCATAAATGGCCATCTAATGCCCACCAGGAGCGAGACGGGTCGCGTTGCATCCTTTGCCGGAAACTACGTGATATTGCAACCATGAATCTCCGCCGAACCGAATAGCAGCTCCCCTGATTGTTTCGATGTAGGAGAGCAGATCCTGTATCTTATCCGGGTGTTTTTCTATGTATACGCTCATGTAGACGTTAAACGCCGATGTCCATGCGCCAATGCCTAATGGACGCGTTTGTTGTTGTTTGGGTTTAAAAATAATCTGACCTGTGGCGTCGAGCGGCAATGTAAATGCCGACATCTCTTGAGGTGTCTGATTTTGGGCCGATATTAGTTGTTTGAGCTCGAAGAATTCGCCGTTGTGTATTTTTTCCCGTAGTTGTTTGGAAACATGTGATCCGATGTGTTCAGCTCTGATGTTTAACTGTAGACAGGGTGTATTTGTTGTGGGTATGCCAAACATGGTGGAATCGTTTAAATTCATAGTTGAGAAAGGATTGAGTGTTTTGTGTTTGTTGTTGGGACGGATGCGTGTTATGCATGTTTAGGGTGTTTTTGGATCCTTCTCTGTTTGTTTGCGAGTGTTCGCGTGCAAATGTACTAATGTTTATGTGCCCTTGATTGTTTGAAGACCTATCCCCAGTCGGCGTCTGAATGCGTTCCGGCATATGCGTATCCCCGTTTGTGAGCTCGCTGTTAGCAAGCATTGTTGTATTTGTAGGAAGCACTGTCGTAGCCGAGTTTGCATTATGCATAATATTGCTCGAATTAATACAAACAAAATCGCTATCCAACGTACCTGCTGTGTTTTGGGGTACTCCGTCTCCGCTGATCAGTCGTGTGCCAATTGGCGCCTCAAGGTCTGTTCCAACCACATTTCTTCTAACCCCCGTCCTACTGGCTTTTGGACCCTTTACCAGTCGGGAGGCCAGCGCCGCTTTCCTTTTAGGAGGCATCCCTCATACACCAAACAAACGAATGAGGTGAGGTAAAATCGCTATAGAGGTGAAACCGTGAGAGGTGAAATGCTAACCGCCGGACGCGTTGTGTTGTTAGAATGACTTGACGGTTGGGGAGTAAAAGTAGTGACGTCATGAGACCGAGGGTAGTGACGTCATGGGAGAAATGACGTATGGTTGCCATGGGGAGTATTTTGGCGGTTCTTGTGAGAGGAGAATGTTTGTAAACAAATGGTGGTAAATGGGAATAGTTACTAGTATTTGTTATGCGGAGCTGACCATAAACCGATTTAGCTAAATAATGCTAAATCATATTAGTATTGCTTCTAGAGTGAAAGCCTTGTTTAGATTGAGGGTGGGTTGTAATGCGGTTCGATGTGTTAGGTAGTGTGTGCAGTGGATGAGTGCGTGTTCTGGGGTTTCTAGTTGTTTGCGGTGTGGGCAGTTACCTGTAGTGTGGTTTTTTATAAAAAAATTAGGTGGTTATTTAGGTTGGTGTGTCCTGTTTGGAGTTTAGTGATTACTCTGTCGATTATTTTTGATGGATGGAGAATTTTTAGTGGTTTCCTGAGTACTTTTTTGATTTGGCTATTTGAGTTTAGTTATGCCATTTTTTGATGATGTTTTGCTTGTTTTGAAAGTGAAGTGTGTTGGGTGGATTTGCAGTGGATGCACCAGGGTGTGCATGTGCCTGGGCAGTCTGTTTGTGCGCATTTTTTACATTTAGTTTTACGGTATGTGCATTGGGAGGCAGTGTGGTTGTATTTGAGGCACTTTGAACATTGCTTAACCTGCTTTATATAGGGTTTGACTTCTAAGTTGGTGTGGGCTCCGAAGGATATGTGTTTGGGGGGCTTCAGGGAATTTAGCGGTCTTTTTGAAGTTGATTATGACAATGGAGGTTGGGACCGTTTTTCCGTTTCTAGTTGAGGTTATTCTACGCGTGCTGGTGATTAGGGGTTGAGGGTTTTGGTCTTGGTTTATGTAAGCTTCTAGAGAGTATAATTGTAAGTCCTCAGTTGTTTCCCTTGGGTTAACCCTAATTACGCCTCGTGTATATTGTTGCCAATTAGGTGTTTGTTTGATTACCGTGACGTGGAATATTTGAGTTATTTTATTTGCTGCATTGTAAGATTCTTGGTTAGGGAAGATTATCTGGTATCCTTTGTTGACTTTTTTAATATTGTTGTAATTTAGTTTTTCTCTTTTAAACCAAGGTCCTATTTTATCTGCCGAGAGTTCTAGTGAGAGAGTGGTGCCTGAACCTGCTGAGAAGAAGTAGAGGGCGAAGGTGGTGATGTAGGCAGCTGGAGAGGGTGTGGGCGATGGAGGTGGAGTGGAGGTGTCAAGTTTGCGCTTTTTAGGGTTTGCGTTTTGAGGTATCGAGTCGGCTGGTTTGGTGGGGGTGGTATGTTTTCGCCATACTCCCTTAACCCAAGGGAAACAACTGAGGACTTACCATTATACTCTAGAAGCTAACATAAACCAAGACCAAAACCCTCAACCCCTAATCACCAGCACTCGTAGAATAACCTCAACTAGAAACGGAAAAACGGTCCAAACCTCCATTGTCATAATCAACTTCAAAAAGACCGCTAAATTCCCTGAAGCCCCCAAACACATATCCTTCGGAGCCCACACCAACTTTGAAGTCAAACCCTATATAAAGCAGGTTAAACAATGTTCAAAATGCCTCAAATACAATCACACTGCCTCCCAATGCACATACCCTAAAACTAAAAAATGCGCACAAACAGACTGCCCAGGCACATGCACACTGCAAATCCACCCAACACACTTCACTTTCAAACCAATGCCCACACAGACACACACTCACCCAGCAGGCCAACAAACACATAATCATAGACACGGCCAAAATCCAAACACGAAAATTTTCATCACCCGCATCCAAACCACTCCTCCCTACACCACACCCAAACACCACCCCACAAGCAAACACCACACCCATAACCGACAGCTCTGTCTGGGGCCCCTACCGAGAAACCGCACTCACCTCACACACACAAGCAGCCACTCAACCAAACACGAACCCTCCCACATCTCACATGGCCAAAACATCAAACCCCGCATGCATACAAACCACAAAACGACCGCCACAACACGACCCTCATCCAACCACCCTACAGCCCACATGGCAACAACACTCCCCCACAAGCAAGCACAACAACAAAACACAAACACTAAGAAATCCACAGCTACACCCATTCCGCAAACACCTACACAACCCTCCACATCACATGCCTCCCCTATGGAAACTCAAACAGCAAAACCTAATCTAACCGATGACGAAGATTTCTCCACTACTGCGGAAACAATAGACACTACTCCAACTAAAACAAAACAAACTTCCCTCTCAGCCCAAAAAAGGAAAAAAAACTAAACCGCAAAACTCCCCAACCAGCCAACACCCAAAACCTAAATAACCTCACCTTACTCCTAGCATACATGCATAGTCAAAACTCACCAAAAGCTAGCATGAAATCCTTCCACAAAGTAGCTTTCAATCTAAAATTAACCAATCTTCCCTTCTTCCTCTTTAACCTCCATCTAAAAGAAGTCACCAAATAAACTAAAAACTAAAAACTAAATCACCAACCACCCGAACCCAATAATGAAAGGACTAAATATTTTTCAGTGGAACGCCAACGGACTCACCTCCCACGGCCATGAACTAAAAACTAAATTTAAACTAAATGAAGGCCCTCAAATTGCTTGTATACAGGAAACCAAATTCTCAAAAAAATCCAAATTCACACTACCTAACTACAACTCAGTTAGAACTGACAGAGCTTAACCAAAAACAAGAAGAGCCGCAGGAGGACTAATCATATTTATCAGGGAAGATATAAATTACGAAGAAATAAAAATAGACACGCCAAACCTAAAAGCCAACTTATTTAATATCACATTAAATAACCGAACATAAACATCATAAATATATACCGCTGGGCGGAACAAAAAGTCCAACCTGAGGATCTAAACAAACTACTCCAAATAAGCGACAAATCTACTATATTCCTAGGAGACTTTAACGCTCACCATCCTACATGGAGCATAGATGATAAAATAGATAATCATGGCAAATTAATCTCCGAATGGATAGAAACAAACGACCTAGTACTCCTAAATACCAACCCACGAGGTACGATAAGATAAACCAAAGAATGTCGGCTATCGACCTAACCATATGCACCGCAGATCTAGCTCAAAGTACTCAATGGGAAGTGCACGATGTCCCGCTAGGTAGTGACCACTTCCCCATAAACATAACCATAAGAAATACAAACGTACCAATCCAAACAGAAAACCTAGAACCAAAATTCCATTACAATAAAGCTAACTGGGACCAACTCCAAGATATCTGCAACGAAGCTAACTTAAACGAAATAGGAAATAATGATCCAGAAACCTATTGTAAAAACCTAAAAGACTATATAATAAACGCAGCCAAAACCTCCATCCCCTTCAAAACATCTAAAACAGGCAAACCCACGGTACCATGTTGGAATGAGGAAATAGAACAGACTAGACGAAAACGTAAATCAGCCTTCAATAAAGCAAAACGCGACTACAAACATCTAAACATAGCCCACGAACTAAACCACCAGGTTCAAAAACTAGTCCAAGTAGCTAAAAGTAGAGACTGGAAAAAATTCTGCGAAGGTATAAATAACAGTACAGATGCCAGAATGGTCTGGCGCAAAATCCACACCATTAGAGGCTTAAAACGACATAAAAAAAACCTAACATTAAAAACTCAACCAACCCCACCCAAAAAGCAAATAATCTCGCCAACCACTTTTCGGCCGTTAGCAGTAACACAAACTTCAGCCAAAAATTCCAAGATAAACTTAAAACAGAAAACAAACCCACAAAAGAACCAAACAATAACAATCTAGAAATAAACCAACCCTACACAATGGAGCTCCTCTACGTTGGATTTTAATCCAAAACAGGAAAAAGGGCACAGCCCCAGGATTAGACCTAACTTCTTACCAAATAATTAAAAAACTCCCCCCTAAAACTACTCCAGGCACTACTCAAACTATACAATCTCATCTACCTAAACGGACAGGTTCCTACTCCCTGGAAACAGGCCCCAGTCATACCAATCCCTAAACCTAATAAACCGGCGAATCAAGCAAACTCATATTGACCAATATCCCTAACTTCAAACTTATGCAAAGTAATGAAATCAATGGCTAAAAATAGATTACAACATTACCTAACCCAAAATAACACCATAAACCCAGATCAAAGCGGTTTCACTCCTGGCCGCTCAACCCTAGATAACCTCGCCTGACTAGAGCAAGATATTAGACAGGACAACTAAATAAACAATATACCACAGGCATCTTCTTAGACTTCTCTAAAGCTTTCGACATGGTATGGCACGATGGGCTAATACAAAAACTTTAAAAAATAGGACTCAAAGGTCAGATAATAAACTACATCCAGGACTTCCTAAACAATCGTAAAATAACCGTGGGTATAGACCAAACACTATCGGACCAATGTCCCCTAGAAAATGGCACTCCCCAGGGCAGTATCCTCAGCCCCACCCTCTTCAATATAATGATAAATGATCTATTCGAGGGCCTATCCCCTAAAGTAAACACATCAAAATTCGCGGATGATGGAGCCCTCTGGATCCGCACTAAAAGCATTAAAATGGCCCAAAAGTTTCTCAAAAATCTCTAAATAAAATACAACTATGGGCTGACAAATGGGGCTTCTCCCTCAACTCAGAAAAAACAACAGGAATAGAATTCAAACATAAAAACATGAAACCCACCTCCCCAATCCTCCAGCTGAACAACCAAACAATCAAATTTCAAAAACAAACCAAATTCTTAGGACTTATTTTCGATGAACATCTCACCTGGGATGCTCACATCCAAAACCTAACAACTAAATGCAGTAAAGACCTAAACACCCTAAGATGCCTAACTGGCTCTAACTGGGGAGCCTCCAAAGATATCCTCCTCTCTCTCTACATATCACTAATTAGATCAAAACTAGACTACG